ATTTACACTTTGTGGATCTTGTTTCCTAAAGGGGTGTTGACTGACATATTGGTCGACTAAAACTTCACTTGGGGAGCAAGGGATGGCGCAGTGGTGAGAGCACTCACCTCCCACAAATGTGGCCCGGGTTCAAATCCCGGCGTTGACGCTATATGTGGGTTGAGTTTGTTGTTGGTCCTCTCCTTTGCTGCGAGAGTTTTTTCTCCAGGTACTCCAGTTTTCCCCTCTCCTCAAAAACCAACATTTCTAAATTCCAATTTGATCAGGATTTGGGTAAACGAAGAACCACTTTGTGGGTGTGCTACCTCCAAATCATTATTATTATTAAATTATTACTATTATTATTATTATTATTATTACTGAAACTACTGTAGATCCTACCTGTCCATTTAGTAAACTTTGTCCATTGATATTACTGTACATCTTACATTTTTTATTAAAATCATAATATATCAATGCATAAATTTAAATTACAGACTAGTGAAATTATCCAAATTAATTAAAGTAACCCACCATTTTGCTGTTGGGGGCACTTGTCTTCAATGAATGATGGAGTGTCCTTGACTGCAATAGGAGATTTAAACTGATCAGTGATACAAGCTATTCCTACTATTCCTACTATTCTCACAAGTGTTCCAGCCAGAGTGCGCCATTGCGTGAATCCCGCAAAAGATCAAGAGATGGCCCCCAACAAAAGAGTTCAAGGGCCATTATGGCCCTTTCCTTATTTAATTCCCCGGGCTTTAAAATGTCTCTGTCACTTCAACTACAATAATTTTCCAGTTAAACAGAATTTTTAATCCAAAGAACAACAAATTTAATTTAATTTAATTTAATTTATATATAGCAAGGTAGGAATACTCTAATAAAGAAGAAGAAAAAGGAAAAAAGAAAATTAATGGCTTGGATAGAAGTGTACGGTGGTCAGAGGAGCTTAGCTTTCGAGCTAACCACCGCTGTACATATTACAGTGTCATAAATTATAACTTCAAGCCGATAAATGTAGAAAAGTGTTATTCTTGGGACTGCTATTTCAATATCATACGATGAGCTTTCAGGCTGCTCACATCATCTTTACTATAAGGTAGATTTAGACCTCTATCCGCCTTAATCATCGCGTTGGCTAAAGACAAAGTTACAGCGCAAATGGCGAAAAGGAAAATCGAGTATCGGAAGTCGCGTTCCAACACAAATTGAAACTATTTCCCCCAAAGAAAACCCTCATATGGAAAAGGCATTGTTCGATTGGCCAATCGTGTTGCAGTATGACGTCAAAGCGAAGTATCGATTGATTTCTAGAAAGTTCTCGGGCATGAAGTTTTTTCACCCGAGCGTTTGCTTAACCAACCAAAAGAAACGCACGTCTGTATCCGTTCGATAAACCAAATAAATTGCTTTATTTCCGTTCGTTTGTTGTTTCTGTTTTGTTCGCGCGTTTTAATTTCAAGGTCATACGAAAATCGCTCTAGCGAAGAGCGCAAGGGTGACACAGGCACGTGTCCAGTTCGTGCGTTATAAACAGTAGGGAGCTCAAGCAAAGACGTTTCTAAGCGACGCGCGTCAACAAGAAGTGGACCTTTTTCATTCATGGGCATGGTTTAGCCCACATTTTCGGCCAAATCGTCTCTACGAAAGTAAAGACACTTAGCAATACAAATTTGGTAGCGTCAAGTCATATCATAAGAAAATTTACGTATTTTAGTATTTCTTAGTATGTCTATAATAAAGGAAAAGGCCTCACTTCTGGTTGACGTACGTCGCTTAAAAACGCCTTTACTTAAAGAAGCTGTGTCACGGCAGTCCAGATCATTAAGTTTAATTTCGCCCACTACTCGCCCTCAATCGCTATGGAACTTAAAGTAAGTAAAGAAATTACAAGTAAATGACAAAGTAAGAGATTCCAGACAAACACTGATATGTCTCCTGAACATTATTTTTGAAGTTGCAAACAACAGAGATAAACTTTGAAAAACTGTTACGCTGAACAGTTTTCAAAAACTCTAATTTCAATCCGTTTCAATCTTCTTCAGTTTTGTCCATCCGTGGCATCTGTTGTATCTTTTGTGTTATTTTGACCTTCCTTTAATGTTTAAGCGGTTATTTTTATGTTTCTCTTGGATTTAACGGGCATTTTGTAATACCTAATTTGGCTGAATTTCGTGACACAGCGCCTTTAAGCAGCTTCTCTCCCAAGTTACAGGTGATGATAGATATATGAAGTACCTCGAGAAAGGAGCACTCTCATTGGTGTAAGAACATTCCTAATCGAGTTAATCAGCGGGTTTATCAGGAGACAACCAGTTGTCTATATGTTCAGCCAGAAATTCTGTGAGGCCAAATTCAGTGAGCAGTTTTGAGGCGAAATGGCCTGATAAATAACCAAGTACAGCTCCAATTATGCCACCAAGGACTGGAATAGGGATTAACAACTGGCCAACTATCATTCCACCAATACTTCCACCGGCACGGAAGGGAGCTGACAAAACACTATCAATGACTTCCTTGATAAACTCCTTTCTGGTCTTTATGACAATTCCCTCCTTCCATTTTTGTTTAGCTGACTTAATTTCTCTATAAGCCAGATAACCTTCTGCGAAAATGGCCACTATTGCTCCACCCCAGACACCGATTCCTTTCGGAAGAGCTGCCGCAACGGGCTTTGCCCTGATTAGTCGCATCGACGCAAGAAGTATGTCGTCGCCAAACTGTTCAACAAGTGCTTTTGGAACTTGCTGAAGTGAATGTTTAAGAAAATTATATCCACCGCCAATAACCTCACGAAAATAACGAACAGCAGCGGTCACTTGAAGGCTGATTTGTAAATCGCAAAAGCACCACATGATTAAGGTCTCGCAGTTATTCTTCTCTAAATCGTACCATCTTTCTTTTTTTCTAGCCCTTTCCTGGCTCTTTTTAGCCCTTTCCTCGGGAGGATACCGAGGCAGTTCCTCTGGCCACACGACTCTTGCCACTTCGTTTCCTTCCGTTTGCAGCTTGGCTTCGCTGACGTACTCTTCAATACACATCTCCTGAACCACTGCCAGTTGTTCTATGGGAGAACCACAGCCTGAGATACTAGGGATCAACTGAGCGGTGGCTTTCCATGGTGTATTGTAGTAGTGCACAATCATCGGCTTGCCTTCACCGTTGAAACCGACGCAGATAAAATGATGCTCGTACGGAACCAGCCCAAGGAAGGAATCGTTTCTAACTAGATGATCGCCAAGTCGTACGTCCTTAAAGCTGTGAATTGGTTCTTTAGCTTGCAGTTGCCATTGCAGAATATGTTTTTGCTGATCCGTTGGAAGTCTCTCAATCCAATTCCAAATCTCTACAGAGGCTCGCGCCATGTCTTGTTTAGAAGAATTGGTTAGAAAACGAAAGTTCTGCGGCGTTTCTCTTTCAGCTGCGAGACTGGAGGCCCTATCTGAAAACTTTTATTTATTTACCTCTCACAGGGATTTCCCCCGGGGTTTAACTTTAGAAAAATTCGTCACATTCCACTGAGATTATATTTCCGTCCATGTGGATGCTGCGTTTGTCAGCATGACATCGTGATTTCAAGTGACTCCAAATACGAACCTATGCTGCCTGATCTAAAGCAACAAAATCAGTTAAGACCTTTTAAATGTTTTCGAGGAATCCTCACACTAACCTTGTGAGAGTAAGTTAGAACCCCTTGATGTTTTCCCACCTCGGCTACGCCACCAAACGTTGTCTTGCCCCGTTTAGTAACTTAACCAGAGGCTTAGTTTCGACTGTGTTGCGGAGTATTTCCTACCCGCCCTTCTCGAGAATTCTGTTTGTGACCTTTAGGCCACTTCAGTGATACCATCATAAACACTTTTGTACCTTATTAAACCAAAAACGAAGCAAGCATTAAATAAAATATGGTTAGAGATGATACACTATGATTATTGTTAAAAACGGGTTTCGGAGATTTTAAGCACCTTATGCCTTATTTAAACTACTAAAGAAGAATGAAAACTTCTCGGATCAGTAATGAACATCCATTAATTTTCAGCGTTCTTTGAACTGTTTCCACAAGCAGGCGTTTTTCCCGCTGTTGTTGATTGGATAAAAAAATGAGAAGACATCACATGAAAGACGTTTTATGTACCCAAGGTTGAGTTTTAAAAGAAAGTATTATAGAGAGGAGAAGTATGACGTCACGTCACCATGGTAGAACTATTTGTGGATGACAACAAAACCAACGACGACGGCGACAGGACGGAACGAGAATGGCAAAAAAAGTAGAATGTTTTTATTGACAAAACAACAAATTTGCACGTGCGTTACACTATTTTGTACATTTCTTTGCCGTCGTTACACCCCTGCGACATGAAGCTTCCTAATTTCACACTCTTGCTTTATGGAGTAGGTGAACACAACACAAAAGTTGTCTTTTTTTCTCTTCTTAACTTAGATACGGTCCTGTCGGATTCAACCCGAGGACATTTCGCCAATATTTGCCAAATTAAATGAAACTGAATAAGTTCAATGAAGTTTGAGAGGTGCGAATTCACTTCTTAACTGACGTTTTCGGTTTGTTGTCATCCAAACATTTTGCTACCATGACAACGTTACGTAACGACTTCTGATCCACCAATTTAAGCGGACACCCCCTATTAAGCGAACACTAAGCCGGGTCCCCAAATTAACGTCTTGTATTTCCCGTTATGACGAACCCCTATTCAGCGGACACCTCTATTAAGCGGACGCGGACACTAAAATAAATTGTATTTGGCTAATTTCTATTGTTAAAACCCTCTATTAGGTGGACACCGGACTCAATTGACAATAGTAGTATTGGATTACGTCATTGAAATACTTATTGTAGTCGATTAATAAATGTATTTATCATGGGTTATGTAACCTTTTCATTGGGGTGTTACATGGTATGCTGTTCTGTTGCTTCATTAGCGGTGGGCTATATATATTCGAGTTGTTCTCATTTACATTCATTCGCGTCTTACGACCGTCCCTACGCCCTCAAAATTATGTCTGATGTCGAAGACGTTACTCCAGCGAACACAGATTTTCCTAGCAGCGACGTTTTGCTGCCTTCGCTTCCTAAAAAACCTTTGTCTCAATCTCTCGAAGCTTCAGTACCAATCCAGTCTTCAGAATCCAGTGATATAGCGTCCGCGTTCTCTCTATTCAGGGATTATTTCGACAAGAAGTTGGGCGCCTTGAAGCGAGATATTCAAGACGAGTTGTGCAGTAATACCGATTCTGTGGCCAAAAAGCTCAAGAAGAATCCAAGATCACGTTTAGATTCGAAGGTAATCATGAAGAAACAGTTTCAATTCAAATCCGACCTTGCAGAGAAGGTGAAGTCGGCGTCAGTTGCTCTCGGGAAGAGAAAATTAGACCTTGTTAAAACTCACCTGGAAGAACTAGACTCTGACATCGAGAAGCGCAACAAACTTATCAGACTGGCAGACAAGTCCGCCGCCGGTTGGGATTTAGTGAACGAGTATTTATCTGACGAGCTGGCTAGCGGGTCAGAGGACGAAAAGCGTATCCGCCGTGCCGAACAGAGGGCCCTTCGTAAACGCAACCAACGCCAACAGAAAGCGAAGCCATCCAAGCAAGGTTATTCACAACTCCAATCATCTACCGCAACCACCGCGTTTGCTGCCCAACATTCATCATCCTCCAGACCTATTTCTCTTACTTTTGGCGCTTTCAGCAAACCAAGACCAAGTGATATTTGTTTCGCCTGCGGCTAGCAAGGTCATTGGAGGTCTCAGTGTCAAGTTAATCCTTAAGCCAGATCTTCAAGCTCGGGGCCGTCCTTTCCTAGTTCTTCTGGTCTTTCGGGCATTGGAGGTAAATAGGACCACAGAATTGAAAACTTGTTTTCCAAGGTTAGATATTAGCTTTACTCAATTTATGAGACATGTATCCTTCCTATTTGAAGTATTTCAGGGAAAGAGAATCTAGTTAATTAGTCGATTTCGATTATGATCGCAATCTATTTGAATTTGAACAGAATTCTGCATTGCCAGTACTTAAGGGTAGACTTAGGTCCTGTTTAAGTTATTGGCACACTATTGGTGCCAATAGTTTTGTTATCGACAGTATTAAATGCGCTTATCGGATCCCATTCATTAGCACACCTTGTCGGGCGCGTTTTTCTAACAATCAGTCAGCTCTTAATAATGAGTCTTTCGTGGAGTCGGCTATCGCTGAATTAGTCCACACTCATGCCGTCGTTGAGGTGCCCTTTATTCCACATTTCGTTAATCCGCTCTCTGTCTCGATACAGTCTTCAGGCAAGAAGAGGCTTATTCTGGACTTACGTCATGTCAACCATTTCATTTGGAAACAGAAGTTTATTAGGTGTGAAGATTGGAGAGTTTCATTATCATATGTTAATAAGGGCGATTACCTTTTCAGTTTCAATCTCAAGTCTGGATATCACCATATCGATATTTTTCCGGATCACCAAACTTTTCTGGGTTTCTCCTGGGTTTTTTCTGGTACCGTTCGGTATTTTTGTTTTGCATCACTTCCGTTCGGTCTAAGCTCAGCCCCATACGTCTTCACCAAGTGTCTCAGACCACTCGTTAAGTTTTGGAGGTCTAACGGGATTAAAATAGTTGTGTTCCTCGACGATGGGTGCGGAAAAGGGGATTCACTGCCTATGGCCAAGGAAAATTCATTGTTTGTGCAATCATCCTTAAGCAGTGCGGGGTTTGTTGCCAACCCCCGCCAAATCACTATAAAACCCCACTCAGGTGCTTGTTTGGTTGGGTTTAAAGTGGGACTTAGTTATCGGTACCATTTCTATTATCGATAGACGTATTTGCAAATTTATCGCTCTGATTGACAAATTTCTTCTATCCGCACCTTATGTTACGGCTCGGGATTGTGCCGTTATCGCAGGTCATGTTATGTCCATGTCGCCAGTTTTGGGTAACCTGACTCGTCTCAAAACCCGTTTTCTTTACAAGGTCATAGAATCCCGCCGTAGTTGGGATTCCCATTTTAATATCGGGCTTCATAATGATTGCCTCTCTGAAATATTTTTCTGGAAAAACAATATCGTTAGTCTTAATATGAGAGCTATTTTGCCTTATAATGCTCCCCTTTTGTTTAGCTATTCGAATGCTAGCAACGTCGCCTGCGGGGCTTTTGTTGTGGGCACTAATGAGGTGTCCCATCGTATGTGGACTGCTTGCGAAGCAGCTAAGAGCTCTACCTGGAGAGAACTTAAGGCTATACAATTTGCCTTAGGTGCGTTCAAAGCCTCGGTTCGGGGTAAGTGTGTAAAGTGGCATTCTGACAGCCAAGGGGCCGTTCGTATTGTGGAGATAGGGAGTCCTAGTGCAGAATTGCATTCTATTGAGCTTGATATTTTCTATTTTTGTCGAACTTACAGTATTACACTTATTCCCCAGTGGGTTCCCAGGGAACTGAATGCTTGTGCTGATGCGATTAGCTACATTGTAGACTTC